ACCCAGAATAAAGGACACATTTCCCAGCCTCCTTTGAAGCTTGGTGTGGCCAGGTTACCAAGTTCCAGCCAGTGTGATAATGAACAACTTCCTCATCTTCTCAAATGGAAAGAGTTCAGCCAGCCTTTCCCTTCCCCTTCTTTCTACTTTCTGGAAAAAAAACGTATGGCTGGAGATGGAACTTCCTAATAATGGGAGCCATGTGCTGAAAAGACAGCAGAGAAGCCTGGGTCTCTGGTGACTACAGAGCAGCCAGACCAACCCTAAACTTTAATTAAACATACGCCTTGCTGACGTTACTATTAGTCTCTGTCTCTATCCAGCAGCAGAACCCATATCCTAACAAAGAAGCTTTGCCAAGAGCAATGAAGAACGCTTCCAAAGCTCTAATGCCTCTCGACTGTTCAGATTCAACAAGTCCATAAATATGTATTAAGAGTCTACTACGTGTTTGAAGTTTCCTAAGAGTATCGTTATAGCCTCCTGGGAAACAGGCCCCATGTCATTTTTGAAACACCAATATATTTATATAAATGCAAAAGGCATATTCAGCAAAGGTGAAATAGAAAGAAATAAGCAATGTTTAAGTAAGATCAGGAAGGAGGCAGGAAAAGTACACACTTGCTTATAAAGGAGGCCATGAAGCATACAGCAAATAGGTGTCAGATGTCCCGGGGTGCAGGTTACTCACGTCCCTTCCCCCCAGGAGAGAAGGTGATATAAGGAGGCCACTAGAGCTGAGCCCAGTTACTCTCTGGGAGCCCCCAGGCCCGAGGGAGGTTGACTGGGATACTGATGGCAATGAGATCCGGCCCAGCAGAACTAGGAAGAGGGGCTGTTGTGGACTAAATAGATGCTCACAAGGGTCCCTTCAGCTCTGATATTCTGCTCCGGCGTAAGGAGCCAAGGTGGGGAAGACTGGGAAGAAAGAACTGAGTTAAAGAGACAGGTGTGTGCAGGTCTGGGGGTAGAGAATGTCTGGAGTGGGAATATGATGTCCAGACCCCTTGCTGTTATCAGTGAGAAAGGAAATGAATGTGGCTTAATTATAATGACAGGATGACAGCAGTGACATGATGAGGAAAGAATCAGAAAAGCGCAAATCCTGTATTAAGAAAACGGCAACTTTCTCTTCGCCACCACATTCTCCCTGGAGAGCTCCCCAAGATGGGGTCCCGTCCCTAGCCTGAGACTGAGACTTCCCAGATGAAGGGACTTCTTTCCCACTCTCCTCCTTTGAGGGACCCCGCAGAGGCCCCGTGCGAGAATCAGCCCATAGTGAAGGCTTCATCTCCAGGCCTCAGTCGCTGGTTGGTAGGCGGCAGGGCCTCCGTATCCTTCCCACAGCCTCCGCCGCCATTGGACCGCCGACTCCCTGAAAGTGCCACCAGGGGCACATAGCTCCAAATCCTCAGCACAGAGTGGGGGGCCTGTCAGGGGACCACTCAGTATGTGCCTGCTGCATGGGGGCAACCTCTCACACAGACGCCTAGCGTAGCCCTTCTCTCAGCATGACTGGTACACAGGAGATGTACAAAAAGATGGAAGGAGCCCACGCCCACACCTCAGAGTAAGGCCTTGCAGGAGGCCACCAGGGCCCACAGATGAGGGCAGGGGGGCCAGGGCAGGGGCTGGCTGGCCCTGGTCCCCACCAAGATGTCAGAAGGAAGGCTAGACATCCAGCCAGGCAGCGGGCGACATCACAGATCACCTACACCCACAGCTAATCACAAGAACTCATTTTAACCAACAGTCTTCATCTCTTCCTGTGGCAATTTTTTATCAGAACTGAGAGAGGTGAGCCAGCTTGAAAATCTTTAGCTTTCCTGCTTCCTGGCACTCTCTGGGAATTAGCCAAGTTCTAAGGAGACACTCAGTGCCAGAACGCAGGGGAAGCAACAGACGCTTCTGGATAATCTACATTATGGCTACTACTCTGCGACAGAATCACCTGGAAATACAATCACCAATACGCGTAAAATTCAGTGCAAAGAGGAAAAATATCACAATGCAATCAGTATTCCAAAGCCTACTGGCTTTGGGTCTGTCTATAGCCTTTAAGGCGTGCTGACTGCCAGGGTGCCTGGGAAGAGAGGAACAGCGACCCTTTGGCACAAATGCAGGCTGTGGTCAGTGCTCCGTTGCCAGAGATGCCCACTCTGGGGTCAGTCCAACCCACCAGCCATGCAGTGAGGATCTAAGTGTGTGCACGCACACACACACAGGCCCAGCAAAGATAAAAGAGAGCCCCGTAAATCTAGTAAGACGTCAGCTGTTGTCCTGAGCAAAGGTGATTCAGAATGTAAGTTTACAAGGATAATTACCACGGCGTTACACAGAGTGTAATAACTTTGCTGTTTAGCATAGAATTTGTCAGACGGGTCACATGTAAAGTGGAACAGCTGTAGCTGTAAGTGACAGGTTGCTGAGAAATGGCTCAGTTCCAAAGCACCTGGTCCCCTGAGTCTGTACCACAATCTTGTTCTTAAATTAAAACAACAGCAAACAAGCGTACAAAATTTTCCACTGCAGAAACTGCCAGATTGTTAAAGTTTACAGAGAGAGTTTTCAAGGTGTTGTGGTGTCAGTGTAGAGAGCGAGCAAAGGCTGTTATCAGATCACATCTACGCTGGTGGGCCCCAGGCGAAGAGCAGGGCTTTCAGTTCAGAGAGGCCTGGATCCAAATCCTGTCTCTCCTACTTCCCAGTCCTGTTCTTGAGAAAGGACAAAACTTCTTAGAGCTTCCATTTCCTTAGAAGACAGAGACCACAGTCTCTAAGGTATAGAGTTTTTGTGAGCAGTAGGATTTATGAGAGAGCGCTTACCACAACCCCTGGCAAATATCAAATGTTTCAGGAATCGGGTCACTGTTAACAAGACCTGCCTACCTAGACATCATCTGTGGCTGCATAATGCAGAGAAAACTCCCTGCATATTAAAGTTTAAAAAAAAAAGAAATGGAACACTACAAAGCTCTAAGAAAGTGGAGAGAGAAAAGAGGCGATAATAATTGTTTGAGGTTTTCCTTGGAGACCATACCCAGGAAATTATGCTTTCCATAGAAGAACGGTTTTGGAAAAACAAACTGCTTATACTTGTTATATGACACTAGAACTGTTTTTTTCCATTCTTGCAGGTAAAACATTAGAAGGAAGACTCTTCATATTTGAAAACCTTTGGGAGCCCACGAAATGGGGTGCATTTTTTCTAACTGACCACTCTTCGCAAATTTTCTGTAATGAAGACAATGACGTATTCCAGTTGATAAAGTGTCTCACGTCCCTCTCTGAGGGACAGAAATTGGGCCCTGAGCTTGGCACCTCTGGTGCATCTGGTTGTTCCCCAGGTGCCCCAAGGCCCACAGAAATGCTGCAAGCACTATCTACAAAATGGTGCTGCTGAGGCTGAAATCGTTCCAGAAAAGCAAAGGTCTTAAACCCTTTTACACGACATGAGAAAGCACCTGAAGTTCTAATTAAGCTAAAGCAGTTAGCCACCCACAGATATTTAACGCTGCTTCCCATGGTCAGGCAATCATCTCTATTAAAACCCATTTTAAAGCAAGGAGCAAACCCCAACACTCCACTGGCACACACTTCCCGCAAATCAATTACCCTCAGACATGTCCGGCCAATACTCAGGGGCAAGCTCCGTGCTTTTCGGAAAGGACTGCACCAGACATGGTGAGTGGGATGCAAAACACAAGGAGGCGAACAGCCAATGAGACAATTTGGGGTGACACCATCCTCTCGCAGAGGGGCATCTCTGGTGGGTCAGACAAAGCAAGAGAAACTGAAGCCTCACGTTTCCCTGGTCTCAGAATTCCGAGGCCGGTGTAATGACGAATGTATCACTTCCACCCTGAATAAGCACATGGAGCAGAACGGGGTCTGCCTGCTGGCACCCGAGGCCAACTTCACTGTGTGCGACCCGCCTACTGTCCAAACCGGTGCTACCTGGGAGGACTGTCCTCTCCCAGGTCACAGTGTGTCCCTGAAGTGCCAACAGGGTGTACATGGCAGGTTCACAGGGAGTCCATTCCACTCTAAGTGCACGTGCTTTCCCCAGGCCAGAGAGGTCTGCCCCCCCAGGAAGACTCCCCAGTCCAGAGCTGTCTCCAGATTAGGCAGGAGCAATCGCTACACATGGTCAGTAAGTGACTGAGATTTAAATACCTTCCTCAAGAAGGCTTGCTTTTGTTTCTCAGTCCAGTCAAGTAAATCCAATCACCCACTACTTCTCAACTGAAAGCAGCCTTTTTTTTTCCTGATTGATTTTTTTGTTTTAAATCTAGAAAATTTCTCAACTATCAAGCAGACATCGACAGTGTTGATATAGATCAGTATTGTCCAATAGAAATAAGATTTAAAATTTTCCTAGGAGCCACATTAAAAAAGCAAAAAGAAATATGAAATTAATTGTAACAATATTTTATTTAACCCACCATAACAAAAATGTTGTCATTTCAACATATAGTCAATAGAAAAGATAATTGATGAGATATTTCATATTCTTTTTCCATGCATTCTGTTTCTAGGACCATATTGGACTGCATAGATCTAGAGCTATGTATAAATTGACATGGAAAGACCCACAATTCACTGCTCAATGAATAAGCAGTTTACCAAATTGTATGTGTAGCATGATCTCATTTTAACTTTATAAATATCTGTATCTGTGTGCGTGCATATGTATAGAAAACAATCTGTGAGGGAGAGACCAAAAGGCAGTTAACTCTGAGAGGTAGAATGATGGTTGGTCTTTATTTTCTATTTTGTGCTCTTCTGTATTTTCTAAATTTTTTGCAGTAAACATGTACTGCTTTAACTATCAGGAAAACTATAAAGTTAGTCTTTTAAAAAGTGTTCCATTAGTTTAAATTATTACACCCCTTAATCCTGAGGGCACTATAGCCAATGCCTTGTCTCCAGGTAATAGGAGTAGCCAAACAATAGGGCCCTGTCCCCGCCCACCCCAGCCCCACCCACTTTCATACTTACAGCCAATCATCATGATGGCCACTGCAAAGATCTTCTCGATGTCTGTGGATGGGGCAATGTTCCCAAAGCCCACGCTGGTGAGGCTGGTCATGGTGAAATACAATGAGGAGATGTAAACGGAATTCTTGCTGGGACCACCTTCCCACTTCCCTGAGCCGGACCCATTAAACTGGTAAGGAGTGCCAATGTCCATGGCCAGTTGGTAGAGCCAGCTGTTGTTGCGGACCGTCTTGGTGTCCTCATCGAAGATCTCATAGTCCCCAATGCTGTACCAAATGCAGGCCATCCAGTGAGCAGCCAGTCCGAACACACACACCAGCAGGACCAGCACCGCAGCTCCGTATTCAATGTAGTGGTCCAGCTTCCGGGCCACTCGCCCCAGACGGAGCAGCCGGACAACTTTCAGAGAGCTGAACAGGCTGCTGATGCCCTGGGAGGAGACGAGCACAGCGTCAAAGTCAAGTATCAAGAGAACACTACTCCTTCCCTCCTCCCTCCTGAGCTGTTTCCTCCAGCAGAGTGTATTTCCATGAGATGCTGTGTTAGGCAACCCTTAAAAAACTGTTTTAAAATAAATCGCACTATGGAGAGTTGGCCGCATGTATTTGTATATTTACACACCATATCATTTAGATTTTTATTCCAGGTGTATGGAAGGGAGATTTCCATTAGCTCTTTCCCACTCTCATTAAAAAGCAAATAAAAATAAAATAAAAATAAAATAAATTAGACAAAATTAAAATTTTATTCTCATAATATGGTGCATAAGTATATAAATACATGAGCATTTTTCCATATCATACTTATTTTAAATCAGTGTTTAAGGGTTGTATAATATTTCATATTAGGTAATATGAAATAGTTGAAGAGTTGCATATTTATTTCATATCATAATATTTCATTCTAATTGTATTGTACATAAGTACACACATATTTACGTGTTGAAAAATGGTCAGGAAACACATGGAAAGGGCATGAAAACAACAGCGGTCATGGTTGCATTGTCAAATGATGGCGTTACAGACAATTTTTGGTTCCGTTTATATTTTTGTTACACTTGCATATATTTACTCAATTTCTATCATTAAAATTATTACTTCTACAGTTAGGAAAATATGTTTAAAAAGTTTCTAAAAGAAGACAGAAATGAGTGAAAGAAACCACTAAGAAGAGTAAAGAACTGACTTTCTATTTTCTCAGGAAAGTCACAAATCCTTGGAAGACTGCATCGCCCCTGTCAGGCCAGGGATTATATAATCAGACACCATGGTTCACCGCAATACATCGAGGAATCTCTGAGCTCAGAGGAACCTTCTGATTTCACCTGTTTAAGCCTCCTCCCTTCCAGCTGCTGGCTGCCAGGCCCACCAGGAAAGGTCTGTTCTCCAACTAGCAGTTTTCTAGGGAACAGCAATACGGTAGCAGAAAGAACACTAGCGGAGAAATCTGGGAAACAGGTTCGGAGCCTCACATGAGCCACTAACTTGCTGTGTGAATTTGGACGATATAGTTACTTTTTGCTTCCCTTCACTAGACAATGAAAGAGGTAGAGGATTTCTAAATCTTCTCCAAATGCTAATGTATTCTCATCACCAAAGGGAGCTGAAACATACCGCGGGAACCACACCATTCAAAACTTCAAAACTCCTATCCCAAAGTGATTCCAAGAGGTAACAAAGAGATTTCCATTAGTTTCTCTTATTTCCATTAAAAAGCAAATAAACAAGCAAAGAAAATAGAGACATTTCTTTGAATCAAGACCTTGGTCTCCTTTATACTGCAAAAACTCAACAGCAGGACGATGCCCTTCACCAAGGAGAGGCTTTTCACTATTCTAAACACTGGACAGTTTCCAGGTCACTGCTATTCCCTATTGTCCCCTATGCTCCTAATGACGACCCCCAAGGGTCAGGGTATGTCTCAGACAGAAGGATGATGCGTAAATGCTTTCTGATGAGGCTGTTATCGGCAACCAAGGCTGCGTACTCTTCCGAGGCACACAGCTCACCCCCCTTTCCCAGCCTCTTTCCATCCAGGTAGATCTCTAGGACTAGTTCTCGCCAGTGGAAAGTGAGGCGAAATGTGTCACTTTCCAGATGAGGCAGTTACAAGTAATGTGCGTTCTCTACATGCTTTCTCTTCCCCCCGGGCATGTCCTCCAGATGAGACTAGAGTGACCTTGAAGCCAAGTGTTGAATATGGATGCACAGCATGAAAGGAACCTGGGTCCCCAAAAGACTATGTGGAGCATGCTCTCCCCCACAATCAATCTGAATCATACTGTGACGTGAATGAAAAATGAAACCTCTGTAATAAGCCACTGAATTTTGAGGATACTTGTGACAATCGCTCTCATTAGCCTTCCTTGACATAGGGACACACACCCCATATATAGCTTAGCCTTGTCCATAAAGACCACAGGTCAGATTGCCATACAAATTCTTTTTGTTGAGGGGAGGGTGGGGAAACAATACAAATAAACAACAGTTTTGTAGCCATAAAACTTCTAACAGAAATAATAATTTCTTGTCTAACATATTCCAGCCAATGGATAATAATGGCTTTTTCTAGACCAAGGAACTAGATCCCCAGTCAGTTCATCCAAACTGCTGACTTTGACAAAGTTTACCCTTGGCATGTCCAGCACTCCTTCCCTGGGTCCCCTGTGCCCTCCATGCATTTTTCTCAAAAACCTGCCATGCAGAAAAGGCTGAGAAAATCCCTCATATTAAGTTGCAAAGGATGGATGAAGGAAAAGGGATATCCTCTCTCCCTAGGGCATTAACAGAGAGAAACCAACTTTCAGGAGTAGAATTAAAAGCACCCTCAGCCTGGATGAGGGAGATATTTTGGGAGGCAAAGGAGCTTTTTTTTCTGATGACTCAGAAATCAGTCACATGTAAGCAGCCACCTCCTCGCCACCTCCTCAGAAGGAGGTTCCTGAAATCATTTTTCAAAGCAGTTCTACTCAGAAGCAGAACTTCTTACCCAGGGCAAAACTGTCTTGTCATCTTTCCTCACCCATATTCAATTCAAAGCCACACTGATGGAGAACCTACTAGGTACTCCGTGTGCTAATGCTACAGGGGAAAGATTTTAAAGGATGCTGTCTGGACTTGGTGTTCACTTTTGTGTCTTCCATGCCTGGGGTGTGGAAGATGCTTGATGGGAAGACAGGAGAGAGTGTGCACATGCAGAACAACTAGCAAGAGAGGCAAGATACGATCAGCGAAAAGATTTCTCTCTGATGGTCACAGAACCTCAGAGCTAAGAGGGTGCAGAGAAGTCATATAGTCCAGCTCCTCTGAGTCCAGACATGGCTTCTGGAGCTCACTTAAGGGTTGGTCATTCAGCCTCTCCATGAACTCTCCCCTTTGCTGCTCTGTCTAGAAGATCCCAGTGTGTGGCAGTCATTTGTGGAGATGAACAATGGGCTCCCCTCTTATCTCCCTCCTCTCCATTTGCACTCCATCCTCCTCCCTTCTCCATCCTTCCCAGGGGCCACCACAACACATGCCATCACTACCCACAGGCCATGCTGTCCTCTATGCATAACTCCACACGTCTGGAACATCCCACATAGGGGAAGCCCACTGGCTTCTCTGGCCTGTTCAGACCAGTCCTCAGCCCAGAATGCCCAACTCCCCCATTTCTGCCAGCTGTCATACTAGTCATCCTGCAGTGACAACCTCCACCACCCTGTAGTCATGACCAGTAACTCACCCCTCCGCATATCCATAGTATTCGGTATCCATGCATTATAGTTTCCTGAGGCCATTTCCCCAACTATATCAGGAACTACATCTTCTTGAGGACAGAAGCCATTTGTTATTCATTTTAGAAGCTTCCTGTATTGGGTTGAATATGTACGTCTCCCTGAAATTCATGTCTTTCCCAGAACTTCAAAATACGACTTAATTTGGAAATAGGGTCATTTCAGGTATATTTAGCTATGTTGAGGTCATACTAGAGTATGGTAGACCCTTAATCCAGCATTACTGGTGTCCTGATAAGAAAAGGCACAGAGAGAGAGCATCAGGTGGCCACCAACACAGAGACTGGAGTGGTGAGTCTTCAAGATAAGGAACTCGAAGGACTACCGGCAACACCAGAAGCTAAGAGAAGGCATGGAACAGATTCTCTCCTAGAGCCTGCAGAGAGAGCAGGGCCTTGCCAACCCCTTGATTTCAGACTGCCACCCTCCAAACTGTGACAGAATAAATTTTTGTTCTATGAAGCCACCCAGTTTGTGGTAATTTATGTCTGCGACCACAGGAAACGATTCCACCTACACAGGGTCTAAAGCCAGCACCTTCTCAGAAAGGGTCTCAAACATTCACTAAACTAACCTGGAGAGTTGGGATTATTAGAGAATTCCTTCCCATTTAAGGAGCCTCTGGAACAATATAGAATAAGCTCCTCCTCGTGGTGTTATTTCTCTGTGTGTCTACTGGCTCTCCATTCCACGGTTTTGCATCAGTTTCTCCCTTTCTCACTAACAGCTGGACTTCTGTTTAAATTCATTTCAAGCTATTAATTTGAGTTTTCATTCTTTTTGCTGAAGTTCAGTAGATGAGATAAATAAAACAGAATACTCCAAACTTCTTTTAAAATGTTAGTATGCTAAAAACATGACAGCACCATATGGTAGAGAATCACATTTCTCCAGGGAATTCTTCCATCAGAAAACCTATCTCACATTCCAAATAGTTCTTTATCACAACTTTATAAGTATGAAGAACCAAGAATTTCAACGTGGGTCAACATGGATAAAGGGGCGGTGACACCTGTGCTGGTGAGCCTCCTCGATGAAGGCCAACTGAAATGACTGGAAGGAAGCCATCTGAAATCTGTTATCTCAGTTGTAGTGATATTGGCAAGATTCAAATTGAAACAGATATTTGGCAATTAACAGATTCACTTGTGTGTGGACTATCAAGTTGCACCCATTCACCCAACCTAAATAAATCAATCCATTAACTTGAACTATACCTTGCCTTCTGACGTAGCCAGATTCACCAATTGTCTGCTCATTTTTTTTTCTGTCATATGCATGGAAATAACACTGTTGCCAACCAATGACAACACATTATTGAAAAGAACTCCTTCTTTCGGGTTCATGGAAAGTTCTCCCAGGTTTCCAGGTCTGAGGGGTGACACAATGGCATCCAGAGCAAATTCTGCAGGTGATAGCTTTCACCCTCATGTTACTCATGATCACTCTGCCCCCCCACATCCTCCAGCTCAGGGCCTCCTGCACATGATTCCCTCTGAGTCCTAAGGGATCCACCTTCAGGCATAGGCAAATTCTTCATGGGTAGTTGGGTACCTCAACCCGCTGCCTTCATGAGCAGCTCCCACCACCTTTCTGCTTCAGCTGGAACCAGCTTTCCCCGTGCTCTCTCTTACAGCCAGGAGCTGGGAGTAGGA